CAGGTAAAGTGTACTACTTCAACCACATCACTAATGCCAGTCAGTGGGAACGTCCAGTAGGAGACGGCCGTGGAGAACCAGATAAGGTTATTATGAATATGTGTTTTAATGTCTTTATTAAAATAATTACAACAAGGCAGCAGTGGACGTAACTAGTTCAGTGATGTGATGGTAAAAGAGAATAGAGTTATTCCTGCAAACAAATTATTAACATTAATAGAAACACGAGTCAACTGCAGAAAGAATAATCAAACAGACATGGGGGCGCTAGTTGTCATCCTTTCTTCGTATAAGTTAGTAGGCCTAAGTTATTTGAGGGATATATTTCTCTGGGATTTTTTCTTAAATTGATATTTAAACTAAATTATTGATTGCTCATTAGTTCTGCCGGTAAATCAGAAAATGAACGTTTGGGCCTTATTACTGGATCATTTCTATTTTAAGGAAAATAATGAACTCAATATATCTGTCCGATCTTTATTATTGATTCTTGGGAGATTTGATACTGATTAGTTTCTGTTTCTTTGGGGGGGTTTCTGTCACCAGGTCCGCTGCTCCCACCTCCTGGTGAAGCACAATCAGTCACGACGTCCGTCCTCCTGGCGGGACCAAAATATCACACGATCTAAAGACGAGGCCCTGGATCTCATTCAGAGTAAGCGAGGCAGAGGAGAGGTGTGATTTGATGCGGTCGATTCAAATATTTAATCTGTTTGTTGTTTCTCTCTTCTGTGCAGAGTACATAGAACAGATCAAGTCTGGAGATGAGAAGTTTGAGTATCTGGCTTCTCAGTTCAGTGACTGCAGCTCAGCTAAGAACGGTGGAGATCTGGGACTGTTCGGCAGAGGTACACACACATTCCACTTTATTTACTCACACCATACTGTATAGGCTATATACATATGCACGCCCCCAGGGAAACCATGATTATTATTATAAAAATAAAATATATATAATTTTTGAATAAATGCAGTAGTTCATGTATACACATAACATGCAGCATATCATTTTATCTGTAATGAGAAAAGGTGTATTTTTGCTTTAACATCAGCATTTGTGTTTCAGGTCAAATGCAGAAACCATTTGAAGACGCTTCCTTCGCCCTTAAAGTGGGAGACATGAGCGGTCCTGTTTTTACTGAGTCTGGGGTCCACATCATCCTTCGTACTGGCTGAACAGAGGAAGCCACATACTGTACTATGTGCTTACACTCGCGCGCACACACACACAAACACACACATACATACATACATACAGTTAACCCAACTAGTGCTGTGATACATTTTAATAACACACAACAGCCAATATTACAAAGCCTCTGACCTTCGACCATCGAATTATTCAGAGCACCATCAAACATGTTGAGTAATATGACTACACTGAACATCAGGGCGTGTTACAGGTTATTCCTGTAAGGCCTCAAGCTTAGAAATCACAGTAAGTCTATTGATAAAAAAGACAGGAGTGCCTGTGACTGCCCCATGGAAACATTCTCACCTGACCTCTGAGTGAAGTTTGAGAATGTGCCTGTTAAAGCTTGTGTGTTTTCGTATGTGCATGTTTTGAAAAGGACCATTCTGTTTTATTTTACTTTCCACAGTGTGTGTGCCAAAGCGATTCCTCTGTATGTAATATTGTTTCACAAAATAGATTCTTAATATGTTAAAGATGCTGTACTTTCTGGCCATTGCAGAACTCGGAGTCAGAGAAAGTTCTCTAAATTTAGCTTCGATTCGCCCTTCACAGAGTCATACACATAGAATTATTTCTTTTCGTAATCCGCTTCAAAAAGTGCACGTTTCCCCCTGAGGATATGCAAAGATGGCACCGCTGAAAACTTCCAGGTTTTATCAAACAGCTCAGCAGCTTTTAAAAGCATCGAGGTCCAGATGAATTGTTACGATGTCGTTTCATTGGAGCTCTTCTTCCATCAATAAAGGAAATTCTTTTCTATAAATCCTGCTCAGGTTGACTTTTTTGGGCTCGTCTGTTGAACCTATTCACGAATCTGTGTGTGCATGTGAGAAGTGGTTGGGTGAAATGAAATGATGGACGTGCAGAATTAAATTAAATGCGTCATCCAAACAAGATAAATCATGATGACTTTTCATCTGTCAGGTCAAAATTGCTGGACAAACTAAAATCCAAAGTAATTAACCAAAAAAATGTTTGTCCACCAACTTCATTTTCAGACAAATACCTGCACAACTAAGATAATGTTAATCATGTTCACTGTCTCACTTCAGCTATTCTCTTTTATTAGCAACACACAGGGCAACTGGAATCACACTCAGCAGAGCACGGGCTCCACCGAGGCCCAACCACAAACCAGCCAGAGCCAGATTTTTGGGTGGATCAGAGGAACATATTTGTGATTTAGAAACAAATGGTAACAATGAACCAGAAACAAGGTGTATCTGTTTGACAGGGAATTGATTGATTAATGATGTGAAAGCTCTTTATAAACCTGTCAAAACAAGCCTATCCTACTCCACTGTCCAATTGGAGCGCCGGTAATTGTAAGACAGATGAAATGAAAAAATGTTTTTGCAAGGCTGAAAGCAGAAAATGTGTTTGGTCAACTTTGAAACGTCATAGTTCTTAAACTACTGAACTATCTTTACAAAACGTTTCTAGATACATGAAAACTCTGACCTGCCGGTGGCGCTACGTGAAGTCGGTCATCAACCAAATCCTATAGGAAGCATAAATATCGTAAGTACGAAATTTGGTGCCAATCCATCAAATAGATGTTAAGATATTTCAGTTTCATATGATGGTGATAATAGAGAAAAAGTAAAAGGATCGCCAAAGTCTTAAGAATCTCTTCATTCAAAAATCCATTCAGCAGGTGAGATGGGATATTTAAGACACCCACCCGTTCATAAACCAGCTGTCTTTGTTAAGTTTATTTACCGATACACCATCAACACAAAATAAAACCTTGTGTAGTATCCTTACTCTACCATCTTTTCTACTGTTCTGAAAGTCCCTGAGGTGCTGCATTGTCAAACATAGACGGAGGACATGACAGCTCACACACGCACGTTCACATCAGCTCACGTACACCTCGTTCTCTGGTTTTCTGTAAATCGTGACACTTCGAAGATGTGGGTTTGTGTGTGTGTGTAAAGCAACCCAACACATTACCACAGAACTTGTTGGAAGGATGTGATACGGGTCAGGGAAGAACTCATTCAATCCTGGAATTATGTTTAAAAAAGAATCTGACATGTTTAGGGAACTGACATCTATCGGCCCGATCTACTAAGACCCCAAATAAAGAGTGCTAAATTCTGTGTGCATTATGTTTGTGCACTTGAAATTAACAATGAAATTAAGAGAAGATGCTCAAGATGTCAATCCAAACATGCTAATCAAGAAGAAAACATGTTGTGCTCTTGGGTAGAAACGCCCGATGTTGCCTGTTCATTAAGGCAAACGTACTAAATGATATAAAACCAATACAACATCAATACAAAATAAAACCTTGCGTAATACCCAAGCCTTATTCTCTACTATCTTTCATAACGAAGATGGAGGACTTGAGAGCGCACACATCCACTTGTTCTCTGGTTTCTTGTAAGTCACATGACACTCTGAAGAAACCCCTGCGATGCTCAAGATGTCGATCCAAACATGCTAACCAAGAAGAAAACATGTGCTCTCGGGCAGAAGCGCCCGATGTTGCATGTTCATTAAGGCAAAACGTAGTAAGTGGACAGCAAGTTTAATTCTGCACACAATCTTCAAAAAACTAAAATCGAATCAAGACTGAACATGTTGCAATATTTTCATTCATTGAAGGTTCAAAGTCTGCAAGCAGTGGACATTATTGTGATAAATTCTTTTTTTTATATGTCAGGATTACAAAAGGAAATACTGCCACTTGAGTTCGCTCATACAAATTTGTGTTTTGTGTTTTTTTAATTGTTTGTCATCCATCACTTTCTTTCTTTCTGGACAATTCATCCCAATCTTGGTGGTTGTACTTCTGAGGTCCTGAGGAAATGAGGTGTTGTCTGTGATTTCGCTGTGAGTCCAGGGTCTGAATGAAAAACAATACAGAAATACATCTTAATATTAGTGAAAGATGAGATTGATTACCATCGTCACTCCGTCATGAAACTTGTGACATTTTGGTCACAGCAGTTATTTGTTTCAGGTAGAGTGGCATACTCCCTGCAGGATTATATCATTTAACTTTCCTGAAAATCTGAAATGATACAAATGTGCACAAGGAACTAAAAACATTTCTGCCAACGCTGAAATGGATCCAAACCCTTGATGGAAAGCTGTGGTTTTTGGAGCCTGTGAAGTGGAAGATGCTGTTTGTTTACTTTGTGTTTTAAGTATGTGTGGTATGTTCGGTACTCAAAGAGCAACCTCCCATGTGAGAATCATGATGCTGTTGTGTATAAAAGCGATGTTACCTGCAGACCTGATAATTCACCTCAACTCTTCAGCTCCAGCTCCTCTTCACACTAAGAAACTGCACAGGCCTGAACAGGTAATCTTATTTTCATTAAATAACCAATACTAGATAAATACTGCAAATATTCACACCAGTTTATATTTTCATTGGTAAT